TCATTTTAGAAAGGAACTTCAACGGGGATCCCCCAAGAGAATGCATCGGGCCCGCTGGGCTTGATCCCTCTGCTGTGAATCAGAAAGGTCAGAACAGGTGAGTAGTGGATGTAGTGGTCACACTGACCACGTGCAGAACTGGTTTTGACACCCTATGGGTGTCTGATTCTGGAAGGGATTTTGGTTACAGAATGTAACAGGGACATCAAAAAAAGATAGAATGTATGTCATTTTGTAAAGTTGAAAGGCCGAATAGACTTGATCAATTTGTAGACAAACGGACTCATCTAGTAGAGAATAAGGAGACAACAGACTCTACAAAATGATATCGTTTTTTCAAATTCCCTGGGAGGGCCCATCATTCTGTAGATTTTGTGCATTTTTCATGTTTCTACAGAATGACATACAGTTAACTCGAGCGCTGCATTTTGTAGGTATTTCATGGTTTGTTGTACTTTTTTTACTCCGCCCATCTTGTAGATAGTATGATTTTGTAGAGCCAAAAAGTGGTTTTTACTACAAAATGACTGTCTCGACCCCACACCCTGAATTTCAACGGGGATCATATTGGGCCTTGACTCCATCGAATGGTACCTGCAGGATGGACATGTTCTTGAGCTTGGTAACTTGGCCTTTGAGTTTCCCGTGATGGGCTCGGGAGTAGTGAGCTTGGATACGATCTCTTGCACCTGTTGTGGGAGAGCATCCATGTGGGTCTTCAAGAGATTTTTGAGATCAGGTTCCTCCGGCTTTGAAGGGCCTTTGCCCAGTGCTTGCAACCTGGTCTGGGTTTCCTCTGGCAAAGTCGCCCAGCTATTTGCCAGTAGTTCGGTTGCTTCTTGTTGTACCTTGCTCTTCTTGAGCGGTTTTAAACATGAGATCTTTTCTTTGCCCGCAATCTGTGCTACATTTCTGTGGACTCCTTTGGCACCTGGCAGTGCTCGCCTGGCTTTTTCCTGCGGTTCCACGAGGGCACTGGCACCTCATCGTAACAGAGCTCTCAGACCAGATCGAGGTCGGTGAACTGATCCTCACCCTACTACCTGAGCTTTGTAGACGCCGCTGAGGCCCACCTCATCCTGCACAATGTCACCATCTTGGAGAAGAGCATACATGGTATGCTCGCTTGGGGGTCAATGCACTAGCGGGACTTCACTTGAGACCTCAAACCTTGAGCCAAAATGGCTTGAGCCGTGTATGTATGTATGCATGTATGCATTTTTCCTAATGCGGTTCTTTCTCCCAGCTTTGGTTTCGATGCCCTTTTGGCATGTGCCGCTACAGCTGCTGGCCACTTCGAGGTCTTAGAAGGAGAAGGAGTCAAAAATGATGTCATCATGAGAGCGTTGCTCTTCCTCTGCTGATTCTGACGGCTCGGAGCTGCGGCTAAGGTCATTTGGTGCCCTTTGTGGTGGGTCGCTATCCAGATCGAGTTGGGGCCCGCAGAGAGTGCAGCGAACTTGATGGCCTTTTTGCCACAGCTGGTGGCTTGGGCGCCCATCATGTGGTTCTTGGAAGGGTTGGTCTAAGCAGGGGCCGTGTACAAACTCCTGGAATGCCTGCTTGTTGGTGCGCTTGTGGACATTGACCCCACATCTTTGGCACTTGGGGTACCCTTTGGTCTCTTCCAGGATGTGTTTGTCTGGAGCCGGCGGGTTGTCTTGTTGGGCTTGGAGCAGCTGGTGGGTGAGCTGGTTCTTGGTCAGCTCAGGGCCTGAGGGTGGTATTGCCTGTCGGTGTTCGTCAAGCTGCAGTTGTGGGCATTGTTCATGGAGCCTCTCCTCAAGCATTGAGGCGGTGAGCCCTTGGTGCATCCGCGTGCCGCAGGCGCTGCAGTGGTAGCCGCTACGATGAGGTTCCCAGCGGTGGTGCTGGGGTTGCCACGGTTGGCGGCATTGACTGACCAAATCTTTCTTTCTCTGTTTGGTCTGCTTGCCTTGGTGTCTGGGTGCTTTGTCATGGATGTGATGCTCTTTGTCCTCATAGACCTTGGCAAGCCTTTGAATGGCGTGCTTGTAGATCAGTGTGTTGTCCTGATCTACCGTTTTCTGCCAGTCTGTCTGTTGACGGTTATGCAGGCTATTCGCCCTCTCCCAGGCCACTAGCGCTGCGTCTCTTTGGCGGCGTCGGAGTTGAGGTTCACTTTGTGGGGCCTCAGGTGTGCGTGTGTTCCTGCTGACGTAAAGCACAGTGACTCTCTGCCTGTCTGAGGTGGTGAGATCTTCCACGAGATCTGGGAAAGGCTGGTTGCGATGATGACTCTGCCAGGCTTCCCACACTGAGGCGAGCTGCGCAATGACCTTGACAGGTGTGGTGGTGTGCTTTGCCAAGGCAACCAAGCCGGCAAACAAAGCCCGTGCTTTTGTTTGGGCACCTGTCTGTATGTATGTATGTATGTATGTATGTATGTGTTGTAGTGTATTGTATTGTATTGTATTGTGCGTCGCGTATGTTTGTTTTTGGTTAATGTAATGCATTTAATGTTTGTAATGTAATGTAGTGGTATGGTATGGTATGGTAAGGTAATGCAATGCATGTCATGTCATGTCATGTATGTTATGTTATGTTATGTTATGTTATGTTATGTTATGTTATGTTA